AGGTCTGACTCTATCCCGAGTCGTAACCCACAGATTCCCACAGGCTGGATGGAATTTAGCTCTGGTAAAGCTAAGGGAGTCGCTTGGCTTATCTTTTTTGCCCACAAAACTTGTTCCTTGCAGGCCAAGAAACGCTCTTGCTCAATCCACAGCTTTGTGAGGAAAAAACCCCATGAAAAATAGCTCTTGTCCATGCTCAGTTATTTTGGGTTATCAGTTTCAATTTTCATTTCCCCCCTCTATTTGCAGCAATGACTGTTCTCTGAAGATGTTCTGCCTTCAGCAGCTGGGCTGCAGCAGTCAGAGAGACTGCCAGGGTGTTTGGAGTCCTGCTGTGCCTGGTGCCAAATGTCCTGTTAAAGAGGCATCAGTTATCCCTACAGAGCTCCCAGTGATGCTCTTCACCTGTGCTGAGGGCTGAGCAAACCAAGGATTTAGACAGCATTGGATTTTCCTCCCTCTTCCAAATTTCAGTGTCTTGTTTTCTGCAACTGTGAGCACAGCAAGAAGCTTCTGGTGTAGGATTTAAACAGACTTCAGGTGGGAGGCGAGAGATACTCCCTTAGTGCACAAATGAGAAACTGAGGCACAGAGGGACTGGAGGATTCACTCCACGACTGAGCTATTCCCAGAGTCTAAGACAGAGACAGGAATAGGGATTATGTGCTCCAGAGTTAGAGCACTAAATCCACCCTGGGAAATCAAGATTCATTCCTCATCCCTCCTGCTGCCTCCCTGGATGGCGTGGGTGGAGAACGTGTCTTATCCTGAAGGGGTAACACTCATGGGATGCTTTTGTGGCTCAAGAAGATGAAATGGGGTTCATGATCCCTGGAAATGGGGTCAGTGACCCCATCTCGGGGTACATCACAGTTCTTCTGGAAGGGTGTGAGCCTCAGGGACTGTAGGGATGCTCCCACCTCCGGTCTCTGGGAGGCAGAAGGTGAGAATGGCAGGACTGGCCAGTCTGGAGCCAGAAGGTGTGTGGTTCAACTTATTCCCCGACTGCTGGGTGACAGGACAAGAGGAAACAGCCTCAGGTTGTGCCAGGGGAGGTTCAGGTTGGGTAGTAGGGAAAATTTGTTTACCAAAAGGATGGTCAGGGCCTGGCACAGGCTGCTGAGGGCAGAGGTGGAGTCAGCACCCCTGGAGGAATTTAAAAGGCAGTTTTAAATGGGGACATGGGTTAGTGGTGGCCTTGGCAGTGCTGGGTAAACAGTTGGACTCAGCTGGCTTTTCCAACCTGAACCAGTCCACGATTCTTTGATTTCATGATTGATCCAAGTTAATGTTGAAAAGTCAGGTTGATGCTGTACTGGCTGATGCCAACAGTCTCTGCAGTCCTGCCTGCAAAGGGTTCAGGCTGTGATTAGTGATCCGAGTGACAACCTCGAGCTTTTATCTGTAACATTTATCAGCGTTATGAGCAGCAGAGGTTGGGCTCATGTTTCCCAGATGAGATGAGATGGGAAACCTTGCCAGGGAGTTAATACTTCTCTGCCTTAATGAAGCAGTCGAGGCTTTGCTGTGGGAGGAGAGACAATACATTTGCAGTGCATTAAGGTATTATTGTAACCATGTTTGTGCTGAAAGGTTTCTGATCCTCCGAAATAAAGATGAGCAGATTTGTCTCAAATTTATCAATGGAAGCAGAGTTCCCATTGAAATGGGAGGGAGGGGAGGGTGGTTGGCATCCTGCTCACTGCCACAGCTGGGCTGCCACTCTCTGCCCAGCTGCTGGTGCTAACAAGGGACAAGGTGGGGTTTGGTGGGTGAAAAACAACCCCAAAAAGCTGCCTGGGAGATGTTGGGATTCATCAAGAAGGAAGGAACATTTCAAGGTGAAAGAAGGATGACAGGGCAGCCCCGAGGCTGGGAGTAACTGAGAGTCACAGTGAACATCCCGAGATGTTTTGTGCAGCCAGTGTTCCCCTGGGGAGGGATGCTGGGTGGGTTCCCTCATGGTCTGGGTCTGGCTGTGTGAAGAGGCAAGCTACGTGTCCCCTCTGCTGGAAAATCTGCCCTGAGAGGGGCATTAAGGGAGGAAAAGCGTGATGCTTGCTCTGCTTCTTCATAGAGGCTGCGTCTGCTGTTCCAGGGCAGCCCGTAGGTAATTGCACAGGGGGATTTCTTAAATGGACATTAAGAATAAAATCAAATTTGTGGAGACCAGATGCAGCAGAGGAGATGGATGAAAAAGCAGAGGGAAATTTGCAGAGGGAAGTCTGAGACATCTCGTATTAGACAGCAAACCAGAGCCTTGAGGAGCAGGTTTGATGCTGCACTGAGCTCTGAGCTCACAGGAAAGCTCTGTCTGGGTTAGACAGCACAGAGATGTCCCTTCTCCTGCCCCTGTGCTCAGAAATCCAGGATTTGGGACTTGACCTAGACCACCTCTGTTGATGTCTGACAAATTTTGGACTTGCTGCAGTTCCTGGATGCAAATCCCTCTGGGGAACTGGTGGAGGCTCATGGAGGAGGTGATGCTGTTGCTGCATCCCTGATGATGATCCAAACCTGGGCTGGAAAGCCCGGGAGAAGGCAGGAGCTGAGGGGTTATGGCTGGAGAGGAGGTGATCTGTCCCTCTGGCTGCCCTCTGCCTGCAGCTATGTTGCTGCCTGGTACAGCTTAATTGGCTTTGATAGGATTACAGGGAAGCAGCGGAGGAGTAAACAGGGCCAGGAGGACACACCATGCCTGGGGCCACCAGCCCCTGGAGAAATCCTTTGAGCCAGTGACTAAAGCTGCAGGAGTTCAGGGGTTAATGTCTGTGTGGGGTAAGGGCTTAATCCTTCTGGTTTCAAGGGAAATATTTTCCTAGCAGCATCCCAAAGGTCTGTGGCTCCATCATTAATTCCTGATGAGTTTGCCCCTGACAGATTCAGAGTAAATCATGGCAACTATGGAAGTTACACCTTGTTGCCTCCAGCATTGTGTCCTCAATAAATGTTTATGGTTTGAAGCAGACTTGTTTGTTTGCCTTAGACCAGAGGACACTGATTTATTGGCAGAAATCCTAGCAGGGAAAAAGGACAAGCCAGACAAGTTTTTAACTGCTACACACGACTGTGGTGAGGGGATGATGGTTATTTCATGTTTATGAAAATAAAGCCTCAAACTTGGATGGGAACTTTTGCCAGGAATTTTTCTCAACCTGCAAGCAACAAGGGGAGCTCAAGGGTTAATGGTGTTCCAGGGCTTTGCTTTCTGCTTTATTTGGGGTTTGAGATGGCTGGAAGATGCTGTGGGTTGGAAAGGAGGGGTGGATGCTCTTCCTGGGAGCATGTTGCTGATGAACACCATGAACTGCTGTAGGAATGATGGGGAAGCAGTACTGGGGATCCAGTGCTTCAATACCCTCATCCCAGGAGATCTGGACCCTCAAGGAAAACAGGTCTTAAAAGTGAGGCTTAAAGCCATGGATGGAGATGGTGACAAGAGACTTGTGTCCAAGTCTGGGGCAAGGTGACATGACCTAGAGATGAGTGTCCCTGCGTGGAGTTGTGAGTCAATGTCCACCTTTTCATCCACACCTTGCTGGGGCTCATTCCTGCGGGAATCCTCCTTGATTTCTGGTGGCAGAGGTGTTTTCCACTCTGTCAGCAAAGAAGAAGGTGGGCTCAGCTCACTCAGACTCCATCCACGCTCTTCAGCTGCCATTTAGAGCTCAGGCTCAGCTCTTACACCAATATTTGTCGTTGTTCCTCCCCCACCCAGATTTGTGTATTTTGGACAGCTTGTTTCTGATTTAAAGTATAAATAAGTTTAATCTTTTCATCTTTTGTTCTCCTTATCTTCTGGAGGCTGTGCTGGTTAAAAATAACCAGGAAGATGAGCTCAGGTGGGGATGGTGGAGGGGTTTTAAACTTCATCATGGTGGGACCACCCATCTGGCTCTGGAAGGGAAAGTGGTCTCCCTTCTCACTTCTCCCCAACCCTCGTGGTTGAGCTCTTGGTCCAGTGGAAGGTGTTCCTGCCCATGGCTCGGGTGTAGAATGAGATGAGATATAAAGTCCCTTCCAACTCAAAGCATTCCATGATTCTTTCCTAAGCCAGGAGTTCTCTGAATTGCATAAACCCCACTTGTCACATGATTGGAGATTGAAGTGCTTCTGCTGTTGGGGTGAATTGTGAAAATTGGAGGGGGGGTTGATGGGGGTGCAGAGCTCAGAGGTTGTCCCTGGAGACAGGGTGTTTTCCTGCGCCAAGTTCCTGCAGAGGAGGTTTTTCACCTGGAAAAGTCCCTTTTGCCCAGAATTGAACCATTTGCATAAGATCAACTGAAGGGAGAAAGAAAAAAAAAAAATAAAAAACCAACGAACTGAAGGGTTTTGGTTTTCTTGCTGGAAAGTCTGAAAGACAGATTTGGGTCCAGCCTGAAACCTCCCTGGTCGAGGGCTGGCTCAGCTTTGCTTCTCTGTTTATTTTGAAGAGGAGCACACTCACACACACACGTGTGTGCACATACATATGCACACGCTCTCCTAGACAGAAAAAACAATCCCCAGCCTAACCCAGACGCTGATTCAAACCAACTGTTGTCTCTGGCTGCGCTGTCGGCTTTCCCCTGCCCACAGCCCTGCCACCGCGTGAAACCGTGGCTGAAAACCAACAGGCAACCCCCAAAATCCAGAATAAAAATCACATTTCACACAGGGAAGGGCAGAAAAACTCTTTCTAGGCAGCGGTTCTGCCAGAAAAAAAAAAAAAAAAAAAACAAACCTAAAAAAAAACCCTGAAACCCCTCTCCCTACTTGCAACCCGCTGAGCATCAAAGGATGTTCTCACAGGAGACTGTGAAGCCCCTCGGCGCTGTTTGGGTGATGGATGGGGGTCCCCAGGCAGGGCCAGGGGAGGGGCTGTCCGCAGCTGGCGGGGTCTGCGGGGCAGGGCCGGGGGCTGGTGGGTGTCTCCGGGAGCGGTGACCGAGTGAGGCGGTGCCAGGGCTGGGGGCGGATTTTTTAAGAAGAGCCTCGGCTCTTCAGAGCCGCGGCAGCCGCCGGAGGAGTTGACCGGCTGGTTCTCCCTCTCCGCCCGGAGGAGGAGGAAGAGGAGGAAGAAGAGGCTTCGGCTGCCGCCTCTCCGATCCTCCCTCCCCCCCCTTCCCCTTCCGCCCCACACCTTTATGGACGAGCGCCGGAGCTTGCTCTACTCTCCCGCTGCCTCCTGCGCCGGTCGGCACCCGCGGGGCGGCTCGAGCAGCAGCCACCACAACCTGGGCTACACCGAGCCCCCCGCCGCCCCCCAGCCCGGCCCCGAGCAGGAGGAGGAGGAGGGCGAAGAAGGGGAGGAAGGCAGCATGACCGTGGTGGAAGGCGGCGGAGGAGACCCTTTGCTGGAAGAACCGCAGCCTCCTCCCGCGCTGCTCGGGGGGGAGCGCTACGAGCAGCCCCCGGCCCCGGCCCCGCCCGCCGGGCAGCCCGCGGGCGGTGGGGAGCACGAGTGCTGCGAGCGGGTGGTGATCAACATCTCGGGGCTGCGGTTTGAGACCCAGCTGAAGACGCTGGCACAGTTCCCCGAGACGCTGCTGGGGGACCCACGGAAGAGGATGCGCTACTTCGACCCCCTGCGCAACGAGTATTTCTTCGACCGTAACCGCCCCAGCTTTGATGCCATCCTCTACTACTACCAGTCGGGCGGGCGCATCCGGCGGCCCGTCAACGTCCCCATCGACATCTTCTCCGAGGAGATCCGCTTCTACCAGCTCGGGGAGGAGGCCATGGAGAAGTTCCGGGAGGACGAGGGTTTCATTCGGGAGGAGCAGCGGCCGCTTCCCGACAAGGAGTTTCAGCGCCAAGTGTGGCTCCTCTTCGAGTACCCTGAGAGCTCTGGGCCGGCCCGAGGCATCGCCATCGTCTCTGTCCTGGTCATCCTTATCTCTATTGTCATCTTCTGTCTGGAGACCCTGCCTGAATTCAGGGATGACCACGACTATGAGGGAACTGGGGGGACCTTTGGGACGGGCGGTGGCCCACTCCCACCTGAAGTCTTCACCAACTCCTCGTCCTCGGCTGCTTCCATGGTGTCATCCTTCACTGACCCTTTCTTTGTGGTGGAGACTTTGTGCATCATCTGGTTCTCCTTCGAGCTGCTGGTCCGTTTCTTTGCCTGCCCCAGCAAGGCCACCTTCTCCAAGAACATCATGAACATCATTGACATTGTGGCCATCATTCCCTACTTCATCACTCTGGGCACTGAGCTGGCAGAGAGGCAAGGCAATGGCCAGCAAGCCATGTCCTTGGCCATCCTCAGAGTCATCCGCTTGGTTCGGGTTTTCCGCATCTTCAAGCTCTCCCGGCACTCCAAGGGGCTGCAGATCCTGGGGCAGACCCTCAAGGCCAGCATGCGGGAGCTGGGCCTGCTCATCTTCTTCCTCTTCATCGGCGTCATCCTCTTCTCCAGCGCCGTTTACTTTGCCGAGGCCGATGACCCCAGTTCGGGTTTCAGTAGCATCCCCGATGCCTTCTGGTGGGCCGTGGTGACCATGACCACGGTGGGCTACGGGGACATGCATCCCATCACTATTGGGGGCAAGATCGTGGGCTCTCTCTGTGCCATTGCGGGGGTGCTGACCATCGCCCTCCCCGTGCCTGTGATAGTCTCCAATTTCAATTATTTCTACCATCGGGAGACAGAAGGTGAGGAACAAGCCCAGTACATGCACGTTGGGAGCTGCCAGCACCTCTCGTCCAGCGAGGAGATGAAGAAGGCTCGCAGCAATTCCACCCTCAGCAAGTCCGAATACATGGTCATAGAGGAAGGGGGGATCAACCACAGTGCATTCAAACAGGCTGCCTTCAAAGCAGGCAACTGCACAACCACAAACAATCCCAACTGTGTGAACATCAAAAAGATCTTCACGGATGTTTAAAAAAAAAAAAATCCCAAACCAAACAAACAGCAACAAAAACCTGAGGATGCGGTGAAATGATACCAATAATAATAATAACAATAATAATGCAAAGTGACTGTATGTCGGTGTTGTGTGGAACATGCACCATCGTCGGTCTGTGTGTGCCCTCGTTTTGATATGGGTTTTTTTTTAGATCCTTCCTTTCTAAAGATCCAAAAATAAAAGGATTTAAAATTCTCCAAAGAAGAGGACGGCTAAAGGGTAACAAGACAAGGAAGATGAAGACAAACCACACTCACTGTCGAAACAGATGTTCTGCAACGTGTTGCAGGGCAGCTTTGCTTTGTGGGGTTTCGGGGATCCTCTCGCTTTGCTCCTGAATTTCCTCCCCCTTTCCCTGAAGGCAGCGTGGAGCCGATTTCCCTGCCGTCACATAAGCTCAGTTGTTGGATTAACAACCCCGGGCTGGGTGGGGGAATGAGGAAAACATGTAGCCCAGAGTACTGGGAGGGGGTTGGGAGGAAATAACCGTTTAATTTTGCAGAGAGTCTCTGTTACCACGTCGTTAAACAATGCTTTATATTGAATCCTGTGATGTGCCATTACGGGCACATCACAGATTCCATTTGTTTTTTTCCCATTAGACTGTTGATGAAATTCTAATCTGGTCAGAGACGGAGTGCAATCAATGCTGATTTAAATAGAAAAAAACCCCAACCCAGAGCCCTTGTTTTTCGTTCTTAGTTCCCTTCCCGTGTAACCTGATGGAATTATTCCATCCAATTTGATCTGTGCAGAGGGGCTGTGTGTGGGGAGGAGGGAAGGGAAAGGCACAATGCAATGGTTTCAGGAGCCGAGAGAGATGCCAGTGAGGACCAGGGGATGCAGGATCATCTCTGGGCAGCCTCCAAACCCACCCAGCCAGAGACAAAGGGACGTTTCCTCCTTTTTTTGCAACGCTTTTGGGAGAGATGCAGCCTCTTATCGCAAGAAGATTAAAGCGGTGAACACGCCTTCCAGCGGAAGTCACTGATTCCAACCAGGAGTGATGCAGTTGCCATGGCGACCCTGGTTTCCTGGGAAACCCCAAAAGGTTGTCATGGCATCCCTGCTCCCATCCCCCTTGGTCCTTGCTCTTCCTGCAAAAAACCTTTTTCCAGATGGTTCCAGCCCTGCCATCCCGCAGGACATCGTGGCTTCACACCCCCTTCCTGGGCCACGTCCCCTGTGCCCAATAAGGCCCCCCCAGGCAATAAACACCTCCAAACCCACCTGTCCCTTGCTGAGGAGCAATTTTGGCAGGGAAATTTGGGGATGGAGGTTCATCCTGCTCCACCACGAATGACTCCAAACCCAGTGGGAAACGGTCCTGAGCGGGAAGCTCGGCTGGGAAACCTCAGCAGCTTTGGGAGACAAGGGGGACAGGAGAGAGCAGGACTGAAAAATAACCAAAAACCCCACCAGGGAAAACTCACCACCTTCATCTTCACGTGTGCACCAGGGGCCACGGGACATCTGAAGGGATCAGGTGAGCTTCGCACGGGACACACTTTAATGGAGTCATAAAGGAATGTTGCTTTTTGGGGGGACAAACCCCATGCTTTCCACTGCTTACTTTTATTTTCCAGCCTATCCTGCTGCTCTTGGGTATTTTTATAAATTTTAGATAAAGTGGGATCACTTCCTATAGCTCCTCTGATTATATTTGCTGTTCACTTTACTTTTTAGTGCTGTGGTAGGAGGGAGTCTCTGCTGCTTCTCTGCAGCTGGATTTCTTCAGTTCTGTGCTAAAAAGGTGGTTTTCAGTGGTTTAATGCTTCCAGCTCCAGGCTGCTCAGCCTTAAGGACCTTGGCTGTGACTCTCCTCAGTTTTGCTGGATTTTGGGTTAAAGAAAGCCAAATTCCTTTGGGGTAGCACACGGCAAAGGTGTTCAGAAGAGAGACTTCTGGCCCCAACCTGTGCAAGTAACACTTTTCCCAAGGGTGTGGAGAGGGAGATTTGTCCTGAGAGATGCCAGCCATGCCAAAATCAGAGTTTAGCTGGGACTTTATCCCAGTTTTAAAGGATCTGGACAGTTTGTAACACTCTCCCTTAGCCCCAAGAAAAACATCACGGCAGCTCCTTGGCTCCTGGTGTGTGATGGTTTTATTGGAGCTTCTGTAGTTTTCATCAGCTGAGGGTCAGACAAATGATCTTTATTAGGAAGATGCTCTGGAGCATTACAGCAAGTTACAAACCCGAGTTCCCTTATCCAGGATAACTGGAATTCCTTGTCTGGGATAACTGGGAACACCCCAACTTGCCTTTTGCCCAGGTTGCCAGTAGGCTGAAATATCATTTCTGCCTATGAGTTCTCCCTTTTTGTTGTTATTAACTTTTATTGTTACTAAATTTTATTGTTATTAAAGCTTTCCCACAATGCATATTCCTAAAAGGAGGATTTGAGTCTGAAAGGAGTGGAAAAATCTCATTTGGAGAGTCTGCAGATGAATTTTTTGTCTCTGTTTTCCTCGTGGCAGCTGCTCAGGGTACGGAAACCACATGTGCTCCTGGAAACAGCACAGAACAATTTTCGGTTTCTCTGCCATCTAAAATAAGCACAAACCTTGCAGGTTGTTGATTTGTTTTCCTGACTCCTCCCTGCCTGATTTTGTAGGGGCAGAATAGTTTCAAATGGATTTGATTGATGGAAAATGGTGCTGGATGGGAGAGGTGGCAAGGAAACCACTTCACCCACTGGGGTAAAAGGCAGTTTTTCTCCAGTAGAATCATCAAATGGTTTGGGTTGGAAGGGACCTTAGAGATACAGTTCCACCCCCTGCCATGGGCAGGGACACCTTCCACTAGCCCAGGTTGCTCCAAGCCCTGTCCAAACTGGCCTTGAGCACTTCCAGGGATGGGGCAGCCACAGCTTCTCTGGGCAACCTGTGCCAGGGCCTCCCCACCCTCCCAGGGAAGAATTCCTTCCACATATCCAACCTAAATGTCACCTCTTTCCGTCTGAAAAAAGTACTTTTCAGTACTGAATGGTATCACTGAAAAATATAAAATCACTGCTGCTCTTTAGATGCACCCAGAAAATGTAAGTGGAGAACTGGGGGTATCCTTTTGATGGTCTGCCCTTTTTCTCTCAGCATCTTCCCTCTCTGCTGCCTTGTAGGTTCAATGAGATAAATGAGCAACCTGAGCCACCTGGAATAGTGGAAGATGTTCCTGCCCATGGCAGGGGGGTGGAACTGTATGGTCTTTAAGATCCCTTCCAACCCAAACCATTCTGTGATCCTGCTATAAATACTTTCTGTTCCGTGGTCTGGTGGTTTCTCTGGGACTGGCTGCTGCACGTGTTGTGTGAGGAATTGGAGAGTTCATTGAAAAACTGCTCTTTCCACACCAGCTGTTATTAAACTGGCTCTTCTCTCTTGCCATGAGCCTCCTGTTAGGGGACCAGGGAGTGTTTTACAGTCCCTGGGGAGTTAAAGATGAGCCTCAGCCTTCACAGCGTGTTGGACTCAACTGTTCCTAATGTGCTTAGAGGGGCAGCATTAGGGGATTAGTATTAGCAGAGCTGCTGCCTGCTGTCTGCAAGGCAAAGGGCTCCTCCAGCCTCAGCTTATTACATTAAATGGAGGAAAGGGCATTACCACAACTCCTGGCTGACATTTCCCAGTGCCCAGACAGTGAGCACGGGGAAGCAGGGACCCTGGAGCACTGGTAATCCCCATCTCGGCCCCAGGGATGCTCTCAGAAATGTCCTCCTCCTCCCCTGTCCTTCTGGTCACCTTAGAGACAAATTACACTGCTGGCACTGCAGGATGGGAGCAAGGGATGCAGCCCTGGGAGGCTGGAGCTGTCTCCATGGATGCTTTCAGTTTATCATAGAATCATCGAGTGGTTTGGGTTGGAAAGGACCTTAAAGATCATCTCATTCCAACCCCCAGTGTAGAGGCACTGGGTGCTCTAGAGCCTTGTACAGCCTGCTCCCTCTTTTCACAGGCTCCCTTCCCTTTCCCTTTGCCTTTGCCTGGATTTTATTCCCCTGTTTCAGCCCTTGATGCCACCTCAAAACACATCCTTGGTAGCGGGGGCTGCAGGGGACACTCAACGACCCCAACCCTGGCCCTCCACTTGGTACTTTGACACTGCCACCTTTTTCTCCTGTTTCTTTGCCCTCTTGTTTTTGTATGTGTTCAGGCCTGAACTCTTCGAAAAAGGTCTGTTGTTCTCCAGCACAATAGATGCCCTCTGGGTGCTTGATGTGGCCGAGGAGCAGAGCAGTAGCTATCCCACTGCACTGGTGGACACAGACAAGGGCTGGAGGTATCTCTTTCCTCCAGGAGGGTTAAATTTCTTCCCAGGCAATTGTTCCTGCTCTATCCCTTGACAAAAGAGGTCGGTTTTTGTTGTTAATCCCCACTTTATGGGCAATTAAGCAAGGCAAAGGGCAGAGAAGTGCTTTCCCCAGCAGAGGGAAAGGAGCCATCCGGGGTCATCGGCTCCAGAGGGGTCTTTCCTGCAGGGATAACACAGGGAAAGGGTCTCTTGCAGTGGCTGGTGTGTACGGAGAGCGTTCTGTGTAAAATCTCTTTAATTGTGTAGTTTGGAGCCCTCTCCTGCCAAGCTTTTAAAATATGCATATCCTGGTGAGAGCACACGGCGGCTCCAGCGCAGCCCGAGGGAAGCAGGGCTTTGTTTTCCCCATTTTTAAATGCTTTGACAACTGATCTCTGGGTGGGCTGCAAACACGGGAGTGCAAATGGACAAAAAGGGTACAAAAGTAACTTACTTTGCCCCTCAGTTTGCTGTCTGTATCGGGAAGGAGAGCTCAGAGCACCAGCAGCCTCGGCAAGGGCAGTCGTGTGGGCACAGGGAAATAGGGGATTTCTGGTCATCTTTGTCATAGATGGCCTTTAAGGTCCTTTCTGACCCCAAACATTCCATGATTCCATAATTATAGGGTGCTGTGGGCAGGGCAATATTCTATAAATTGCCTCCTTCACTGCTCTCCTGCTCTGGGTCCCACCCACAGTCTGAATGGGGTACTTGACTTGACTGGGGGGGGGGGGATGTTGCAGAGCTGGAGGATGTGTTAAGAATGGGATGTTCCTGCCTTTTCCCGTTTTTCTGGGTGCTGTTGACATGGCAGAGGTCCAGGCTATCCCAGTGGGGGCTGCTGTGGGTGCAGGGTGGGAGTTGAGCGCAGAGCCAAAGGTGGGAGCTGGACACTGACCATGGAACGATGGAGTGATGAGCTTCTTTCCTTCGGAAACAGCCCTGGGAACGTGGTCATCACCACTTGGATGAGGATATTTTGGGGCAGGTGCCCCGAGGTGCCTCATCCCAGCTGGGAATCACTTCTCTGGCAGTGGTGGAGGGGAAGTGGTTTGACTTCATTTTTGAGGGTGGTCATAGGAGAGTTCTTGGGTCAGAAATGAGACTGACATGAGGAGGGGGGTCCAGACCTCGTGTAAGGCAGAACCATCCCAGGGAGGGGACTCATTCCCTGCCAGGGGGTCCCTGCAGAGCAACCCCAGCCCTGTCTCCCCAGTCCCTCCTGGCTCTTGCTTCAGCCAAAGCTCTCCCAGATCCTCTGTGGTTGGGCCTGAGATGTAACTGAGACCTTTTACTCCCATACTTGGCTTCCCAAACAGGAAAATGAGTAATGATGTCTTTGTCAAAGGGATATTTATCCCACCTGATGGACATGTGTTGGCTGCTTTGCCTGGGAAGGTGTCAGGGCTCCTGCTCTTTGTCACTCAGAAAGTCCCAGTTCTTGCTCAGGAGAACCATCCCCTGTGTGGGATGGTTCCTCTGAAGAGGGGTGTGTGCAGGGTCTCACTCTGCCCTTGCAGCTGGAGCCCTTTTATCGCTGTTGCTGGCAAAAAAGCAGCCACAAAATCTGCTGCTCTCTGACACCCACAAGTTTCAGGGGCTGTCTGTGTCTCATCACTGCTCGTAGCCTGAGTTTTTCGTGCTGAGGATGCTCAGCAGCAGGGCAGGGAAACCTTCCCGCATGAACCTCCCCGCAGGGCACCATCACTTCTCTCCTTCTTATGAACCAAGACATGCTCAAGTGAATTAAAACATGTCTCCAATCTCCTTCAGCTTCTCACTGAAGTCAGGAGGAGCTGAAACACTCCCTGATGGCTGCTGTTCCCCTCCTCTCAGCGGGAACGGCCGTTTCCTTCACACTCATTTTGAGCCCCTGGCTCAGCCCCGCCAACGGCAGCAGGCGCTGCTGGGTTTGTTTAGGAATGATTCACTTCCTTAAGACTTGTGATTCCGACGCCTTTCTGAGCATGTTTAAGTTCTGGCACGTCTGTTGCTTTGCTACAGTGGTTGCACTTCATTTTTAGCATCTCTAACATGGACAGGCTGGGTTTGGATGTGTGGCAAGACGAGCCAGTGGCCTCCTCTGCTCTGCTCTGCTCTGCTCTGCTCTCCTCTCCTCTCCTCTCCCCTCTCCCCTCTCCCCTCCTCAAGGCTGCAGGAGGAAATCAGGTTTATTTTGCTGCTGCTCAGCACCAGATGCTTTGCTTTGCTTCCTCCAAAGCACCATCATGGATAGATGTGGAAAATCCTTTGGGGTTGTGTCATGGGGTGGTCGGTGCTGGAAGCCCTGGAGGCTCAGCTGTGGTGGGGGAAGTGGGGCTGCTGCAGCAGGGTCTGTCCTGGGGTCTTGCTCTCATGGAAAGCTGAAGATTGGGATGGAGGTTGGCTGAGATAAACACACACTTTGCAAAGTGTCTTTTGCCTTTGCAGAGAGGTGAGTTTTGCTGTTGGGCTTGGTGCAAGGAAGGAGCTGAGTGCAATGGGGGTGATGGGTGATGCTGTGCCTCTTGGGGGGATTTGGGTTGTTAGGCCAGCTCTGGGTGTCCCTACACCCAGAGCTGGAGGGTAGGAGCACTGTGGTGTTTCCTGACTGGCTTTGGGTGGGTTGGCTCCTCTGTGCCTCAGTTTCCCCATCTGCAAATGACACTGAGCAGCCTCAGAAAGTTTTTGCAGTGAAACCTGTTCTGGAAGGAGAAGGCAGTTTTGAAGCACAGAGCAAGAAATAAGGACTCCTCCAAAGGTTTTATGGAATTCAGCTTTCTTGAGGCTGGCAGAGCCTGCAGACCTTCCCTGGGTACCCCAATAGTCACAGTTGTTTCCTCCGGGTGGAGGGAAGGCCGAGGTTTCACTCAGCTTCCCAAGATGCCAGCTCTGCCTTCAGTTCTCCTTTCCACCACCATCCTCCTCTCCTGTGATTTCATAGAATCATAGAATCATAGAATCAGCTGGGTTGGAAGGGACCTCCGAGATCATCAAGTCCAACCCTTGATCCAACCCCGTTGTGGTTCCCAACCCATGGCACTGATGCCACATCCAGTCTCTTTTTAAAAATCTCCA